TTATTTGTTGGTTAAATTAAGTCATTTAAATAAGTGTTTCAATCGGTAAACTGTCCAAATTTTAGTAACCGTATTAAAATTGGTAGTCAGAAATTAATTTTTCAAATACTACACAAGCTTAAACAATTTTTGAATCTTATTTCATTGTTTTGCAAAAAATGTAACGTTTTGATTTTCATTAAGATAAATGTTTGTTCTGTAAGAATGGAGGAAAACCTACTTCTCTGAATGTATTGTGCTGATCATGTAGTGAAATTATTGATTATAGTTAAGTAATAATTCGTGTTATTTCTGTTTAATTTGTCTTTAAATTGGCTTTAAATATACTGGGTGATTAAGATTATGGGTTGTAATGCATTTTTTAAAAGATCGTCATGGTTACCCTGATATGCAGATTTATTACATAATTGAACAGCAATTAAAGGCAGAGTGTTAAATTCAATCCGCAAATATTCAATCTTTAGGATTACTTAAAATATACTGATTAACTTGAAAACTTTTCTTAATTTATAGCTTGTGATGATTAAAAATAACTTTTAAAAGATGTGATTTATTTGTTTATCTGTATACGTGTTAGGTGAAAGTGACCAGCTATTTCGGACGACTGTTCGGATTGGCTATTTCGGAATGACCATATTGGTAAAGTAGCCGCTTTATATTTTTCATTTTAAACTAACGCAACCAGTTTAAAATGAAGTGTGTAGAAAGAAAACATTTACAATACTAATTTGTTAACTTTAATTGTCCTTACTTATTTTATCGGTCTATGACAGGGTCTAGAAATTTCTACTCGGCAACCTAATATTTAAGGCTGGCAAGTAAGTAGGAATTAGACTGCCAGACTTAGAGTGACAGAAATTGATTCTAGTGTAACAGAATTAAAAAATTTGTCACGAAGGATTTCAATTGACAGGTGGTATTAATTGCCGAAAAACAAAGACAGCGGTATAGAAACATGGGGAACATTTCTGATATTTTAATTGTGATATTTTTCTTATTTTAATAAATTTTAATGATATGTGGATAATAGTAAAATCATTGAAACTTATTACAACCCTATTTTAAGTTATTATTATTATTACTTAAGAAAATATGTTTCAGTCAATGGTTTTAGGTTATGGTTCAATTGTTATGGTCTTGGTCACCAAAAAGTTCTTCTTACTACATCTGTTAACATTTTGAAAATTATTCATATTGTTCTTACAAATAGTGGCGAACAGAAAGTTTTGTCAGGCTAGTTACTTAAGAATTGAAATGTCGTGCCTTGTCCTGTGATATTAAAATAAATAATAAACAAAATATGATAATTAGTATGATTTCAATAGCCAATCTGAATTTTGATTGAAAAGAATTGATTTGTTGGTAGAAGCTCAACCATAACTTTGAGTGGTCTCTTTGGCCAGCCTGCTTTGATATAATTACTCCATATACAATTATTTTCTAACAGTGGTTGTGCATGAGATTTGAAAACTAAACGATTTTTACATTTTATTTAGTTAACTATCAATTACTGATTTAAAATTTTCGTTAAAATATCAAGATATTATTTATCGATTCCAGCCATCTCTTAAGCAAGTCCTTATTATTAAGATATCTGTTTTTCGCCATCATTTTGCGAGAGGATGACGAGAACTATAAATCCTGCCGTCGAACATTAATGTCAGCTTTTGTATCGACACAATTTTAACTTAAGTCTTATCATTTCAATTGTCACACAAGTTTTTACAATTTTCCAATCATATCGCGAATAGGTTGACTTTCTGTGGACGAAAGGTCTTCTGGATTTGATCTAGCTAAGGACACTAGATCATGTGTAATTAAAAACATGATTTTTAAATCAGTCAGTTCATGCAATAGCTTAAAAAAGTTCTCCAGTAGAATTGTTGAGTTTTGAATAATTTCGCTTACGTGTTTAATCTTCTTCCGAGAAAAGAAAAGGCCTCAGCACGGGTTACCATAAATAAGAAATTTGATGCCTTAGTTGGCCAAACGTATCAACATCTTTCTTATTTTACATCCACTGCTCAGTTTATGTTCCTTATATTGGACTACTAAATTGATCAGTGCTGAGGCCTTTCATCTAGGAGGTGTTGGTTTAATACTAACTACGCTTACACGTCTGCGGTGCGTATAATACGTTAACCGTCGATAATGTAGCTTGGGGGTTTATTTTTGGTAGATCAGCAAACCAACCTTGATTGGTTTCACGGTTGGTTTGCTAACAAAAAGATAAAAATTAATGAATATTTCTTTTAAAAAAAAGTTAATAGCTCTTTTGGTTGGCATTCATTTTAGGATTTAAAAACGGTACAGTTGCTCAGAATTTTCTGGCGGCCAATGTCGTAAACGGACGGGGGAAGCAGAATTAGCATATTTGGTTGGTGCAGGTGTTTAATTAGTTGTAATTAAAAGCTTTGATTGATTTTTCATTTTGGAGACTTGAAACTTCTCTTTTCCGATGTCTGTTTTATTTTAATTTTACATTTTAATTTTTAAAACATCTTTTAAACATGTGAGTTCATTTTCTGGCGAAGAATTTTAAATTATAAAAATTTAGAATGCTTTAATCTTAATTTAGTTTTTCGGCTTACCCACTAATTCATTAAATTTTTAAAAATTTATTTTATTTTCCCTTCATTTTAAAAAGCAAAATGGGAATCAAAAATATTTTTTATGTAATTTATTAATTCTTTCATTTTTATTATTATTTCTCTTTTGTTTTGTGTTAGATTTTTTTCTGAGCAATATTTTTTCATAAATAAATTTTATTCGATTCTATATACATTATGCTGACTTAAAAGTTAATGAAGGTAAAAAATGAAAGAAATTTTCTATTAAAATTATTGATGTTATGAAAATTTTCACTTAAAATGTGACTGATGAAACAATTACTACAATCATGATTTTAATTTTCATTACAAAATCTGTTGCAACTTACTGGTATTATTTTTTTTATAAGAAATAAATCGTAACTAGAATCTTGTGTAAAAATTTCTTATTTTAGTGATATGTGCTTGTTAGCAATGAATTAAAATTCTGCTTAAACTTCATAATGTTATTTGCTCATTTTTTTAAACTGCTTCACTTACTACAAGTAACATAATACTATTCAGTGTTCAATGATAATTATTTTATTCTACCCTTAGCTAAGCCTTATTTTTAAATGAACAAATTAGCATTGCATGTATTTTCATATGAAAATTAATGTAGTGTCTCATTATGAAATAATCTCCCTTGAAGCAAGGTATTCATATTAAATTACAAAAAGGGGCCAACCCTTTTTTTAATTCATATGTTAGAGTTTTAGTTCAGTCATGCTTTTTCACCTGACTGGTTCAATTTCATTCAACTGTTTAACTTGACAGTTGTAGTGGTGAACTAAGCAATTCTATAGTGCATAAAAAGCATGTGCAATATTTTTCAGAAATACATTTTCTCATTGATAAAGAATTGAAAATCATCAGTTTCTTCACACCAGTCCAAAGTGAAAATAAATTTTTGGTACTTTTCAGCTTGCCAGGCTCAAGGAAATTCAACAATTTTCTAATTCTTTTTTTTTTTAATTTTAAATAATTTTTTGTGAATGTTAATTTTGCTTAGTGTTTAAAGAAAATGAATACAATAATAAAATAAAAAAGTTGTCAGAAGTCTACATTTTTTGTTTGGCGACTTTTCGCTTGGCTTGCCAAATACAATTTTTTTTTATTATTTACTTTGAAAGTATAAATTTTTCATTCTGTGGCATAATTTTTTCGGCCTTTTTGCGACAAACTTCCCTAGTACTAATATTTTGATTTAAGATACTTTAAATTATAGCAATTACTAATTTAAAGTTACAGAAACGTTGTATTTACAGAAGAAAGCATAGAATAAAAATGCATAAATTTTTTTTATTGTAAAAGTAATATTTTGATAATTCTTGTATTATATGCGATTTTCTCACATTTTGTAGGCGGAAAAATGCTCTAATTAGAATTTTGTGAATCAGTACACAAATTAAAAATCTTAAAATCATAATTTGGTAGCAACTGCCAAAATAAAGATCTTGAATCACGTGAATAGGACTCTTTATAAAAGAGATTCTCAAATAAGTGTATGTAAAATATGAAGTTCTTTAAAGGGAAAAAAATGAAAGAAAGAACATCATTTCTAGAGAGAACGATCTTTTAAACCCTGGCGATTTCTGAATTTTTTATTTTCGATTATTATTTTGAATTTCTAGCAGAAGCCAGTCATTAGATTTTTTTTTTAAAAAATCTCAAATAAGCATAGAAAAATCATGATTATTTCTTTCCTCTCTGATGCTCAAGCAAGACATCTTTAAAAAAAATTTTGCAGAAAAAAAACTTTTTTCAAGAAATTATGCAGAATTGAGGAAAAATTTTGGGGAAAACCAAAAATTTTCCCTTCCCTAACAAAAAATCTTTCTGCAAAAACTCTAATGTTCTGCGACAATGTCGCCGTAATTCTGCCTCAGGGATTTTTCAAAGGGTGAAATTTAAGCTCGCTTTATAAGTATCAAGTATAAAATTTGATAATTTAAAATTAGTTTATGTTACAATGGTATATCTAAAGGGTGACGAAACTAGGAAAAATTTTGGGGATCCCTGTTGTACCCTGAATTGAGATTCACTTATTCACATTGCCTCAAAATATATAAATACTAATGGTTTGGATTTACGAAGATTAAGAAATTGGATTAATGGTTTGATTTAGATTAAGAAATTGGATTTAAGAAGTAAGAAAAAAAAGCCTTAACAGCCTTTAACTGCTTAAACAGCTTCTTAACCAGGTAAATTATTCGTACTGCTGTAATTATAACCTCTTTGTTAAATCAGTAGACTCTGAAATGGCGGAAGCCTCTTTTACTGCCCTTATATGAATGTTAATTGCTTTAGGTGGTTAATTAGTGAAAATATTCAAAACTTGTATTTCTATAAGTTATTTTGATGTCATAAAAACGTTTCTAAGTTCTTTTCTTTGTTATTTTTATTTTGAAGGTGAAAGAGGAGTACACAAATATGATAATTGGAAAAAGAATCGCAGCAATCTGAGTTGTGGAAATTTCCCCCCTTCTGATTGTTGTTTGAAAAATGGTCTAGTTAGATGTCAATGCTTATGGCCTCAAAATAATTTTCCTGTAAGTAGTGCATATTACATGCATATGACTTATATAAAACTTTAGCATAAAGTTAGCTTATTAGAAGTATCAATTTTTATATTAATGCTGATTATGACTTTTTTTTGTATACCAATTGAATAATACGCAGGGATGATTGTGCTCTGGAAAAAATCTGGATTTCCGGATTTTCCGCTATCCTAAAATCCAAGGTCCAGAAGTTTCAAGAAATCATCGATTTCATTTATGTATAAAAATTCTGGTACATTTTATTTAAAAATAATAGAACTAGAGTAAGTAATGCGATTCGAAATAACAGTAAACTTATACATAATTATTAATTTAAATTATGCTGCATATAATTTATTTAGAAATTCATATGAAAATATCAATGATTTAAATCATTGATCATTATAATGATTTAATTCAAGTAATTTTCAGGAATTTTGAGTTGGGCTCAGAATCATTAAAGTAATGAATAAATAAATTAGTTATGTAAGTAAATATTTTTGTGGAAACCTTGCTCTTAATTTCTAATTACTTGTTGTTTTTCTTTTAACTAATTAAAATTTCATAGAATATTATTAACATTTCTTGAAACATTAACTTTATGATCTTCCTGGCATTTTTAATAAATTATTACTCTATATGAATAACTCCTTTTATTGTCTAAATACTCATTTTGTTTTTTAGGATCGTCATCAAAGGAACATTGGCATATCTAAGCCATTTAACTGTGGAACTTTACCCTATGATAAAAAGAAATCATCTGCTCCAGAAAGTGTTCCAAAAAATTGTCCACAAAGTAGCAAACTTCCGGAAGAATTTATATTAGATGACAATGAACTGTGTCTTTTAAATTATTATGATATTCCCATTAATCTTTCTAAAAGACGTCCGGTACGTAGCACTGGCAAAGTAAAAACTGTTTCAATAATCGACACACTTAGTGAACTAGCTTCTGGAGCTACTGATAGAGAAGATGAAGGAGGATTTTCATCTGCTGTTAGTGAATCAGCTGTTTTAGATCATTATCTTCACAAACCTAAAGCTAGACACGCTCGTCCAGTTGCAGCCAAACAAAACTATGGTGTTAGATCTTCATATGCTCCTATTGTAAAGCCCTCTGCATTTTCATCAGCGAAGAATGTTAGCACTGTTAGGAAGCCTCTAGTAAATCAAGCTAGATATCAAAGTGACTCCTTTAATAGTTTACTCACTCAAAACCTTGATGATAATAATTTCTCTTGTAATTCTTTAAAAAGAACTTTAAAGTATTTAAGGAAGGCTGTTGTAAATAATGTTCCTCATGAAGAGAATCAAATCCGAAGGAATGTTCCTGAAAAATTTGAGGCTGAAGATGCTTTCCGCCTTTGTTTTTCAGATAGTGAAGTTAAAGATACTCCACAGCAATGGACTCATGTGCGGCACAAAAGTACTGATATTGATCCTCTTTCAAAATCAAAAAGTTTATTAACTGTTGCTGATCCCTTTTTTAAACGTCATGCCAAACCAATGTCATTATACAATAGCAAAACAAAATCATCTACCCCAGAATGGATTCAAGAAGTTTTTTCTGCTGCAAGAAAAAGTGACATTGATAAAATGGTAAGTCAGATAAATTAAAGAGTTGAAATTAAGAATTGTGAGTAGGAAGTATCTTATGAAGAAATCAATTCAAAACTTGTAAGACCAATTCTGGTAAAGAAATTGCAATTAGTGATAACTATTATAAACTGACCAATTATCATAGCACTTACAACTTTATTTTGCTTACGATGTATAAACTAACTATTTACAGAAAAAAATAGCACTTGCAGTCTCTTTTAATTCCTCTCTTATTTTCTGATTGATAAAATTGTAATTAAATGAATAGTTTAATTACAATTACATAGTTAAGTAAGTAGAGTAAAATCGAAAAGTGCTGAACACAGTTTTCAAGGTAACAATTCAGTAAGTGTAGTTAAAATAATAACTATGAAAAACTAGAGACTTGAAAATAATTGTACATCAAACAATTTTTATGCCTTGTGTTAAAAAAGACTTCACAGTATACTCCGAATTATGCATGCCATAGATCAGAATTCATATTTGGATTAAAAAATTAAAAAAAAAAATTCATCTGATTTATTTGTTTTAAATTAGATTTTTTTAATCCAATTTTTTTTAAATCAAATTTTTTTAATTTACTTTATTGAAATATATTTCAAGAACTTAAGTTAACATTACAATTACTTACATTTTATAAATATGATTATAATGGAAATATTTTTAAAAATAAATCATACTATATTTGAAACTATATTACTGCTTAAAAATTTGTTTTATAGTTCAAATATATTTAAAATGGAATAGAGTGTATTACCACAAAGAAATGAGTCCAAAATAAACAAATCACAAAATTAGTCCCACACTTATCTTCTTTCTATTTATTTGTTTTAAAAAAACTTTTTAAATCGCAAAAGAATTGTGCTTCATAGTACATTACCTTAACTGCAAATCAATAAGCATTTCTATTTTAAAAGACTAAATTTATCAAAAAACAAAAACAAAAATTGCTTTAAAAAACTTATACAAAAGAAAAAAAAAAAAATTCTGAATTTATCTTAAAGTAGCTTTTTTATGCCATATAATGATAAATTTTTTATTTGATACCCATTGTAGGTACTTTCAGATTCCTGATAAATTTGAAATAATCAAATAGGTTACTGAAAAATATTTTTTTAAAATCAGGAATTGGTTGGAATTTTACTACCTTCATGCTTTTTTTTTTTGTCCTCAAAATTGATACTTGATAACGAATTTTTATTGCTGTATCAGTAAATTATGAAGTACATTAAATAAAAAAACTCAAGAAATTAGTAAAGTTTTGGATTTTGTTTTAGTGTTGGTTGTTATGCACGAGAAAGAGGGAGTTGAAAATTAGAACAACTTTTTTCTCTACTTCGTGTAGCATTACATGTGTTAACAAATTTAGCAACTATATTTTTGATATTTTAAAACTTATAAGATAATTTCAAACTTCTTTAATTTTATGTTTTGATAAAACTTATAAAGAGTAATAGAAACCTAGTTCTGAATTTAAAAATCTAGAATTTTCACAATAATCAAATTGAGAAAGTACAATTCTAAGAATATAAATATTGGCACAAATAAATAGAAGAAACTGAAGTATTTATTTATTGTATCAATAGTATTGAAAAGTTTTTATTTATTTATTTTTAATGTTGCAATTTTATAATCATTTCCAGTTGCACATTGTTAAATTTTTAAAACTTATCATTATAGTTATAGTAGCCATACAAATATCTGTACGAAATTCATTAAATACACTACAACTTTTAAGTCAAGTATTTTCATGTCATATTATAATGTCTTAATAAATTATTTTAGTGAAATTGTTTAACTTATTTTTATCTGAAATAGTTTGCTTGTTTATGTATTACATATTTTAAATTGTTTGTTTTCCATTTCCATTCCTTTAATAATTTATTGATTTTTTAGAAAAATAATTTGAAAGGCATTGATCCTGCATTGGTTCGAAATTTATCAGATGACCATGGAAATAATTTATGGCATATTTGTGCTGTACACAATAATTTTGAATGTTTAAACTGGCTATGTACTCATAATCAACATCATGCTGAAGCTCTGAAAGATGAAAACAAAAACGGATTTTCTCCAGTTGCTCTAGCAGTTAAAGTAGGTTTTATTTGTGTTATAATTGATTATTTTTCAAATTTCTTGTATGCTTGAAAAAGAAATGAAATTTAGGCTATTGTATTTCTAAGAATAGAGTTTCCTTTGGACACTTTTTAATATACAAATGCAGCTTCATATATGCAAGGTCTCTATATATCTTTTAGTCATAAAATCTCTTGATGATTAAACTTTAAAAGCACAGCACATTTTGATTAAACATTTTAGTCAAGCTGCACATTATCAACGGAGACTATATATTTTGCATTTTAAGTAAAGTAATAAGATACACTTGAGTTTTACGTTGTTTAAAAAATAGTGGTTGCTAAACAAGGGTCGATGTTTAGAAGACATTTTCCATTTTTAGTGCTTTGTAATATTTTTTTGAATTAATCTAACCAGACTAAATATTTTGCACAGGAATATGTTTTAAATGTGGAGGAACATAATTTTAAATGTGGGATGGCCAAAAATTATTAAAAGAAGTAAAATTGGTGGCACTTGATCCTGGAGTTCCCTTGTCATCTGGATTGGATTCAAATTACAAGGCTACGGAAGTGAACATAAGTAGTCGTAAACCCAAATTGGGTCGGCTGTTATGAATTAAAATAAAATCATTCAAACTAGAGCTGTGGTGGCTGGGGGGATAGATCGCTTGCTTTCCAATAAGGTGAACCAAGTTTGAATCCCATCAATAGCTGAGTTATTCGAATTCCACACCGGGCTCGCCCCAACCACAGTGTTGACGTAAAATGTCTTCTGTGGTAGACGGATCATGGGTTAGAGTCCCCTTACCGCCAGGCTAACCGTGAAAGGTTTTCGTGGTTTTCCTTTTCATGTAATGCAAATGCGGGTTAGATTCATCAAAAAGTCCTCCATGAAGACAAATTTCTCCATGAAGATTCATCAAAAAGTCCTCCATGAAGACAAATTTCTCCCAATACTTGAAACAGGAGTTTCCTTGTCTTATGGTTTGGGTTCAAAATTACGAGGATACTTATCCTTGAATTTTGAATATTGGTAGTCGTAAACTGAAAATTCGGTGGGCTGTTCAACATGGTTATAAAATAAAATAAAATCATTCAAACTAAAAATGCAATCTTTTATATGTATTAGTGCATATTAAACCTTAAAATGTTTTATACCTTGTGTTTATATGATTGTTTATTTGAGTGTTTTAGGCAGGGTTGGCAGGTTTTTGACATGTGACAGTTTTTGACAGTTTAAACCATGGTTTAAACCGTCACGTCAAAAACCTCACTGTCAAAAATGTCGAAAATGTCAAAAACCTATATTCATATGTGAAATTTAATTAATACATAAAATTTATATATTTTTTAAAGGATAGTGTTTCTAAATATGTTCTAGAAAAAATAAATTTAAAATTTTGAAGAAACACTTATATTTTGAATAGTAACCAAAATCTTGTACTTTTGAAAGCTCACATCTTTTGTAATATTATGTATTCATTTTCATGTGTTATTGAAAATCTGCAGTGATATTATTAAGAAATTTATTTATAACCAAATTTAGTGTATAGTATAGATTATACTAAAAATTAGACATTTTTAAAGATAAACATTAGCAGTTTTGTACATTAGACATCTTTTAAAGAAAAATCTTTTTAATATTCTTTTAAATCTTCTTAATAATCTTTTTAACATAAGACAATACAAATTTAAGTGCTTTCTGTTAAATACACAGAGTAGTTAGTGTCGATTTACAGTATATTCAGCCTATTCATTTACTATGCTGAAAATTTAGTTTATCCAAATACTTGTGAATTTCATTTTGCTGAATACTATATAGTTTTGTTGAATATCTAAATATTCAGCTGTTGAATAATTACTTCTTGCTTTCAAGATATGCATTATTTGTATTCTTAATACAAGTGGAGAAAAAAAAATTAAGAGATAAAAATTGTTTTAAAATGATAAGTGTAATAATTATAAATAAATATAATAAACAATATGAATTATATTTATCATTATTCACAAATATAACTACTTTTAAATTCAAATTAACATACTGGATAATAAAGATATTCGGTATAACATTAAAAAAAAATTTTTATACACTTGTATCTTATATCAAGTTTGTATTTATACAACATAACTTGTAAGTTCCTTATAAATATTAGTTATATGTTCCTTATATGTCAAAAATGCATAGTAATAAACTTTTAATTTTCTTAAGTATCAAAAAAAAAAAAATTTTTTTTTTTCAAAATATAAATATTTAAACAATTTTTGTGCAAAATTTTTCTGCACATGCATTTGAATATAAATTTCTGAGATTTTAAATCTGTTATTTTACCTTAATTTTAATTAAAAAATATTTTAAAACCTGCTGATTACCTATAGTATAATTAAATTTCAATATAATGCATGGCAACTGTTGGTAGTTTTGAAGTTTATATATTTTCTTGGCAAACTTCAGTTTTTGACATTTTTGACGGGTTTTTGACGGTTTAAACCAGTATTATACTCTTGTCATGTCAAAAACCACTTTTTGATGTCAAAAACCACTTTTTGACGTCAAAAACCAAACCCTGGTTTTAGGTATATATATAATATAATAATTTATTTTTATTTTTAATTTTTTAGCATGGTAGTCTATTGGCTGTTCAATGGCTGATCCACAACACTGCAAGCAAGTCTCAGTTGTTGCCACAAGCAAATTCCAGATCACTTTTGCATATTGCTGCTAGATATGGTCAGGTAAGTAAAGCATATATAAAATGAATTCTATTATTTATAATTATATATAAATGTTAGTAAGTTTTTAATGACTTGCGTTGCTTTTAATTATTTGAAAAGTGCTAAATTATTTTAATAAACCAGAATTTCATGAAATTTATTTCCTTTTATATGGTTCTGACTCAGAATTAAATAGTTTATGAGAAATAAAAATTCTTTTTAGTTTTAAGCTGGTAAAAAGGAAAGTTTTAGTACAGTACAGAACCCGTTATCCGGAAATCAGAAAACCGGAAAACCAAAAAACCGGAACGAAATTCGATAAATTTTCCCGCTATTTTTTAAAAAAAATTTTTTTTTTTCCTCGTAAGATTTTAGGATTTTTCTTTCTTTTTTGAAAGATGTTTACCCTAGCATCATTTTGTAAATAATTATTAGTGTATTACTTCGTTTTTTCAAGATTATTTCCAAATATTTTTTTTTTTAAGTTGGGTTTAACGATAAAAAAAACGACTTTTTGTAGCGATTCAGAAAACCGGAAAAATCAGTTATCCGGAATAGCGATGGTCCCGATCGTTCCGGATAATCGGTTTCCTACTGTACATAGTCATATTTTCTAAATTTTAATTCAACTCAATTGCTGCAATTTCTTTCAAATTCTCCTTTTGTTGTTCAAAATCATTACATTATTTAAAAATATATTGAAGTTTATTTTTTTAGACATTTTTTAAATATTATTGAATGAAATATAAATAAATAACAAATATTTATTGGAAATTATCTTAGGTATCATTAAAAGTCAATGGATGTGTAAGTTTTCCAAAATACACGAAAACAGAAAAATATCTTGAAGTACAGTAAAGCGCCGATTATCTGAACCCTTATTATCCGAATGTCCAATTATCCAAACAATGTCTAAATTCTTTTTTTTTTTTTTTTTTTTTTTTTTTAAAGTTTAGAATACTTTTTAACCTCTTGATAATTTTTCTAAATTAAGAAGAATAAATAATATCCCCTACATCCGAAGACCATATTTAATTTACAACCTTTTTAGCAGTTTTTTTTATAGCAGCCATACATACATGTATGGTGATACAACTGAAAATTATCTTCCGAGAATGCGAGCTTCATTTTGATAGTCTACAATGGTTGGAATGCAGAAGGAGTTTATGAATAGATAAGTGCTGAAGTTTTATAATTGGGGAATGGGTAGTTGTCACTTATGTTTAATGATTAGTGATTACAGTGCTTGGAATAATAAATCTTGGATCAAAATTCGTAACAGAAAAACTGAAGTTTCTGAACCAGTAGATCTTTCGGATGAAAATGATGAAATTGTTGCTGAAATTTTGAATGAAAATTGGAACTCCACAGACGAAGAGGAAGAAGTAAGTGATCAAGTTCAAGATAGTGGAGCTTCTCATATAGAAGCATGCAATTCATTAGATATTGCAATGAATTGGCTAGAACTTCAAAATGATGTTGATCCAGTTCAGTTGATTTATTTAAAAAGAATAAGGATATATGGCTGCTGAAAAAACGCTTCTTCTTTGAAACGAAATCTTTGCTGGATTTCTTTTGCAATGGAAAATAACGAAACATGTGGTAAAATCAGTAATTGACAAAAAAAATTATAAAAAACTGAAATATGATAAAAATAATTCAAAATGAAAAAAAGTTAATTAAAAATATTTAAAAATTGAAGAAAAAAAAACTTTTAAGCACTCCAAAGCTATTTTAGATAGTACTACCAGTCCTAAGCCTTCAAAAGGTGCAAAGGGAAGTTAGTGCATAAATAATAATCATGTACACTAGATTTTAAACAGCTTTCCTATTATCCGAACTTCTCATTATCTGAACCATGTTCGGTCCTGAGCAGTTCGGATAATCGGCTCTCTACTGTATAAACAAATCAGATTGAAAATCTGAAAATACTGGTATGAATTATTCATTATGAAATATGCATTCAGTGACAAAACTTGGCCCATGGAGCTGGGATAACTCCTGGAGTTGGTGCCTTGTTTGGGGAGAGGGTTGAGTTTCGTGTCATTAAGATATTAAACAAGTCTCCTTTTTATTTTTTTCCAAGCTGACATGTATTTTTTCTAGGTTCTATTTTAAATAATTTTCATACTTATATTCATTTTGTAATTACACAGAGTCACCTTTGAACTAAAAATACTTAAACTTTTTTTTCAAATTAGGATACTTTTTTCTGGAAAATGTAAAGCTGTGATAAAAAAATGGACTTCTATTTAAGATTTTGAAGTTGTCAGCCTCTCTCAAAGGGGTGTGGTGAGGTTTGGCGTTGTCAAGTTTGGTATCATTGAATGTATCTTTTGAAAATATTTCATACCTGCATTTTTAGAATTAAATTATAGTTTTGTTATATTAATTAGTTTTGATTTACTGCAATACTTAATACTTAATGGAGCAGGGATGTTTAGAATTAAATTATAGTTTTATTACATTAATAAGTTTGGATTTACTGCAATACTTTATACTTAATGGAGCAAATTTTTTTTTTAGTATGCTATTGTTGAGTGGCTTCTCAATTATATGACTTCACAAGATCTTGATGCTAGCATTGTTGACTCGGAAGGAAATACAGCTTTACATTTAGCTTCAAAATATGGACACATAAATTGTGCTAAGGTAAAAACTGTGCTTTGAGAATTTGTAGTAGTGTTAAATTGGTGGTATGGTTTATGGTTAAGTTTTGAAGTAAAAAAGATAAGAATTTTTAATACTTCATTTAATAAAAAAATTTATGTTGTTGTTTCTTATAATTTCAGCCCTTACCAGAAACCTAATAATTCATGATTTTAAAATACTTGTCTTTACTTCATGAATTAAAATATAGTATTTGTTATTTAATAATAACACTAATTGTAAATTTTGATTGGAATGACTTCTTAAGTAGTAATTTCTAAATTAACTAGTTTTATGTGTAAATTTATCATGAAATCATTTTTCATTATCATTTTAGTTTTTGAAAACACATTTTTAGTAATTTTCTTTTTCAGTATTTTATTTCCCAAAACCTTATTTTCTTTTGCATAATTTGGATTAACACTTGATAAATATTTTAAACGTTGGGAATTTATTATTTTTTTTTAGTAAATTCATGGTTTTAAATACATTTTTATTGTGTTTACATTGGACCAACATAAGGAACTATATAGAGTTTTATTAATTTGTTATTGTAAAAGTAACATATTTGTTACATTATTTTAAAACTGAATTTCAATGTAGAAATTTTGTCAATTTTTATCTTTCAAATTATGTCTTGCACTTTAACTGTCCAGAATTTGTATTAAGATTCAACCATTGCAAAACAGTGTTAAGTTGCTGTCAATCCATTTTCATTCAAGAGTATGATACTTACATTTAACATGACAAGTTGTTTGTGGCTTCACAAATGATTTTAAATTTTAGATGAGAGAGTTTTTGTCCTTAGTAATCAAATTATTATTCTCACTGTAACATTTGAGCACTTTTCTATGCACTTTGTCAATACAATCGCTATAATGCGTTCTCAAAGTGACACCCAACTAATAAGAATAAATGGTGGTTCGATCGCTAATATGTGATTCAGACCACTATAAAATTTAAATCTTACCCCCCGGTTGAAAATTTCTTTCTTTTTTTCATATTTCAAGTAATATAAGAATAAATTATTAAAATAAATAAATAAATAAAAAGTCAATATTAAGTTAATAGTATACATATAAAATTAAAATTTATCATTCATGATTTTATATTTAAAGTACTATGCAATAAATATGAAAAACCTCTATTATTGTACTTGGTTTGTAACTAAATATTGTTACAAACCATGAAATTCATCCAATACTTTGTACGAAAACCGCTAAACATGAAAAACATTTTATTTAATACCTGACTGATATGAAAATTACATTTGATTTAAAGTGATTTTCAAAGCACTGACTTTGCTTTCTTGTTGATAAATATATTAAGCAAATTTAAAAAAAGAATTACACATTATTTGTACTACATTTTGATTCAACAATCTTTAATATTGAGTTTGACTTAGACTTTTACACGCTAGTGTATGTAACTTAGGTTTGATGTTAAATGATTTTTTAAAATTCAATTGTTAGCAAAAACCAATCATTTACACATCATACCTAATTTACTAATTATACCAACTAAAGTTTTTTATTTAATTTCTTCTACCTTCTAATCTCACTTTCACATTAAGACTTTCAGTTACTGAATTCAATCTCTAAATCTTTTATTTTATTTCATTAAGTAATGTAAATATCTTTAATTTATAATTTTTAATTATTTATCTTTTTGATTCTTGAATTTTTTAAAATACAATATGTTTTACTTTGTAGTCATTGATACTGCAAGTTGGTGGCCTGAAGACTAAAAATGAATGTGGATTGAAACCTTTAGATTTAGCAGTGAAACACTGTAGAATTGAGTGTGCCGATTTTCTGACTGCAATGGAGTCTTCTTTTAACTTAGCCTCCTTAAATATACGTCAAAATATTGACATTCAGCAGTAAGTCTATTCAATACTTCATTGTAATTTTAGTGGCAGATAAACCATTGTTCATAAAAGAAATGTTTTGTTTTTTTAATTACAAGTGCTATAAGATTAACCAAAAGATCTTTCATTTAAAGGATTATTCTGGATTTATTTTAGGGAAGAGCTAAGAACTCAAAAACTTGTAACTGACAAAAAGAAAAATAAATAATTGTATCTTATTTTGTCCATGCCTATTTTTTCACTTGTTAATAAATAAGGAAATAAAAAAGTACATAACTTGTATGTTTTTACACTTTTAAAGAATAATATTTTTTATTCTAGAAATAGATCTGTCATTTTGTCAAGATAATTGCATATCGTAATTTAACCCAATTTTGTGCAGTGTTTTCAAATGTATTAATTTTCAAAGTTACTGTAGTTGTGAGTGCCACCCTACTAGTTATTACTCTTTTACTCAGTGTTCATTTTATAAGCTATCTTCAGACAAAAATATCTGTTAAGAATTCAGAAAAAAAATATCTATTATAGAAAGTTTAAGTCAATTAAGTTTTGATCCAATGGGTTTTTATTTTTGCTAGTCTTAATAGTCTATTTAGCATAAAAATAAATATTTCAAATAAAAAAAATAAATTTTTAAAGCAAAATTAAAAGGTAAAAAAACATTTTTTTTTTGTTACTGCACTTGAAACATTAGGCAATTTTTGGATGCTGTTGAATAACTGATACCCTACTTGTCTCATGTAAATACAATATTTTATAAAGTTATCAGGACATTTAGGTTAGCCAAGCACAAGCAAAAAGTAACCAAGTATTTAAAATTTGTGCTAAAATAAAATTACCAAAATTCACTTATCATTTAATTATTGTATATATATATATATATAACAAANCATGATATATATATATATATATATATTATGTTGATGAATGTTATTTTATATTCTCCATGTTTAGTGACAGCTAGAAATGTCTCTTGAGACTAGTAAAAAGTCCAGAATCATTAAAGGATATCTTTTTAAGTCATTATGGATGAGTTGCAAGCAGTCCAAAATATGGTCTGTGGAAACATCTTCAGATGTTTATTTACTGCAAACAGGGAAAACCTTGTGTCCCTTGCAAAAGAAAATATACATTGATGAATGTTTTTGTTTTGGGTGATGGCTATCTTGTTTTGGTGACTTACGTTGCCAAAAAAAAAAGTAAATAAATAAAAGGTTTTTGATAATTGTGCTTGGCAATCAAAAAGTATCAAACGGCCTAACATTGCAATTGCAACAACTTTTTATGTTGAAAATGAAAATAAAAAAAAATTCCAAGAAGATTCTCACTTTTGATTTTATTCTAAAATTGGATGATTGATTAAGCTGTATGAAATTATATTTTAAACTTCATAGCTTAGATATACTAAAATTTGCTGTTTAGCTTGATCATATTTATTAAAAATACTAGAAAAATTGCACTCAATTTTGCTAAATTAACTTCAGAAAAAAATAACTAAATTTTAATAATGAAAAAATAAGTAAATAAAAAAATGAGAATTTCGCCTATGTTGCAGTACTTTATTTTCTACATTTGTTGCAGCTAAATTGTATAACTTTTAATAATGTGCTGTATTTTTTATTTGCTAAATGTGGTATATTTTTCCGAATTTAAATCTATTTTTTTGCTGCAGTAGTTATCAAAAGTTAGTTTTGTTAGATTTTTTTCCTTTTTTCTGTTACTTAGTTTATTTGTATTAATTATTTTCAAATATTTTTTCAGCCTTCAAAAAGAAAATGCTGAAATAAAGAACTACTTCAAAGAGGTGATTATATTACAATATTTCATTACCTATACTGACTTTTATGTATGGTATTTTTAAAAGAGGGAGTTATTTTTTCTTCTTAATACTTCCTGGTTCCTTCTTAGTACTATTTGTTCTTTAGTGTTGCTATATTTGGCAATTTATGCATTGTCAAATCAAGAATGTCAAAACAAGAATTTCTATGCAAATGATGCATTCAAAATTTATTGATCATTACAAATTAAAGTTAATACACTTTGATAAAATAAAAATAAATATTAAACTAACGGTGACTTTCAAACAGAAATTCACTTGAATGAGTTTCCAATATTTCTTTGTGCTTACTTTTATATTGAAAACACTATTCTTAATGAAATGTTTATTTTTACTTTGTTTTTTATTACCTTACTTTATTTTTTACTTTCTTCTATATTGTTCTTTCAGCTTTAAAATTTCTATCTTTAACTTTCAGCTCCTTACTTTTACAAAGCATTTGCAACATAGGCAAAAGGAACTGGTACAGTTATTTAAGAATGTTGGCAATTCTCAGATTGATCCTGGGAGTAATGAGAGGTAAAAAGAAATTTTTTTAATTAATTTTTTTAGTAATTACTGGTTTTAGGACCCAGAAAAATGCCCCAATTATCTTGCCTCATTTCTTCTTTTTATGGTAGCAGTTTGTATCAGTGTACAATTCATTTTCTGGAGTATATAATGTACCATGGCTCTCAAAATTTTAAGTAAATTACACTAAAAAAGAATTTTGAAAGGCAGTTAATCTTCCCAGGTTTGAGTCAAATTTTTTTTAAAGACTTGAAATAGACCACAACCATCATGGTTGTCAGTTCACATTAGATAAACAAATTTTACAATGACTGGTATGATTCATTATACTAAAAATTTTAGAATATTATAAAATTTCAGAAATTTATAAAATTTCGAAATATATAGAATTTCAGATATATAGAATTTCAGAATTTATAATGACTGGAATTAACTGTAATTATGTGAAAACGTTACTAAATTTCTGAATTGACATTTTTAAATTGTCAAAGCAGGGAAATATGAAATATAATACTAAAATGATAATGAACATCATTAACAAATTTTTTTATCACCCTAAACAATGTATTAATTAGGAAAATAGGAAAAATTTAAAAAGTTTTAGATGGATTTACTTATGTAAGAATTGCATTAGTGTGCTAAACGCAAAATTCAATTCACACTTATATTTGACGTCATGTTTGAAAGGTTAGACAAGTTGTAAAAATCAGCATAAGTTGTTTTGTAGTTTTATAAGTTGTTAAAAAGATAAAGATAGATTGTAGAATTATTTTGGATTTCGATAATCGTGTTACTAAACTAGTAGAAGATAACCAAAACTTGGTAAATACTTAATTAAACATAAAATAAAATCGGTATTTTTTTAAAAAAAGAAAAAGAATTTATTTATTCCAGTGAATGAAAAAGTTATTTTCCAAGCATTTAACACATTGATAGTGTTGCCCTCTATCTAGCAAGAATCAGACTCATCTTCACAACTGTAAAAAAAAAAAAATTAAATTCTTGAAAGACATATTCTAAAAGGAGCTAAAGTACAAAACACTACTTTAAAAAATAAATAAATAAATAAAAGTTAACATACGATACAGGTAAAAAGAACTGAACAATAAAATGTAAAACAAAATTTGATTTATCAAGTAAAAAATAAAAACGCAACACAATAAATTTTGATTTATAACTGAAATGAGGTTTGCAATTTTTCAGTACAGCCACTTCTAGCTAATAAATAGATAGAATTAATAAATAGATAGAAGATAATGTTATTACAGGCTGAGTTATTAACTAATCTTGATCATGTTATTTCTTTAGTTTATTCACTTGTATTTTATTTTCAAAGAGCAAAATAACATGAAAATTTTTTCTGTATTCTTTTTTTTTCTTTATGATCCAAACTTTAAATACTATTGTTTTGAAGGTTGAATAATGCTGGGGTAAAATACCTAGAAGATTACTCTCAGTTATTAATATCAGTTATGGCAAATGAAGAAAATAGATTACTGATGGTTGAGAAGAGTTGGAAGAAAACAAGGAAGCAGATAAAATTATCTGATGGTAGAAAGAAACCTTTAGATATATTAAGGTAAGGTTAATTTTTTCTATTTGTTTATGTTTTCTTTGATTGTTTTGCAACTTATGCTCTAAATGTTTTTTAAAATTTTAGTAAACTATATGTGAAGCATTCACATTTATTTAAAAAGGAGATTATGTTTATGTATCTTAACATGACTTAAAATCCCTACAGCTTTATTAGATTCTTTCTTTGCTTTTAATTTGTACGAAATCATTAATTTCTTTGATGATATTTGGCCATTTGCTGTAATTTGGTGAAGTCATGGCAAAGATCTAGATGATTTATAAATTGTGGCTGAGCTGCCTTTTTTTAACATGTTAAATATATATCTATACACACACGGCAAAACCTCTTGGAAGAGACCACTCTCTGTTTCACAGTAAAATGGTCGTTGATGGAGGTTGATCGGGTCATTCTTAGGGGTTACCTCCATTGACTTCAAAATCTTATGAAAGGTGCTTGATTTTTTGCAAACAATTTAAATTTTAGTCAGTGTTGTTAAAAATGGTTTGACAATCAGTCAGATCTTCTTGTCTTAAGCATTTTCCTCACTCACCATTATGTAGAATTTAAGTTCAAGGTTGTTACTTTTCTATAGGAGTAAAAATAAAAATACAAGCAAAATGAAAACTAAAGATACGCATGTCAGCAAAATCGACATTTTGTCAGAAGACACACCGCCCTGCCAACATGCTGGAGCCTTTCTGCTGTCGGTGGTAAAATCAAAAACTGACAGTGCCCCGAGGCTCATAATGGAAAGTAGAATAAGACAATACTGCAATACCACAAAAATTGAAATAAAAAATGAAAACCTTCTGAAACTCATAACTACACTAAGACCAACAGGTCTACATATGAGAAACACAAAGAGGAAGTTACAGTTAGAAAAACCAAAATAATGTAAATTGTCAGATTCTCAAAACATTAAATTGAAATTAAATAATAACAGTGAACTGTTTACAAAATTAGCCATTTTGGAAATGCGTCCACCTATAGCTTGAAAGCTAACAATTATGCCCTTTTGTACATCAGGTAAATCACACTGTTTCTGCATTATGTCAGCATTGCAATGTTTCCAATTCCACCAGACACTCTTTATTAACGATCCATTGCGATGTGCTGCCACTTGCCTTTTGTGATTGGTTATCTCATGTTGACATTAAAAATAGGTCATGGTCACATAGTTAGGTGGTGACTGGACTGTGTATGATCATTATATATTAGGTTTTTTTTATTTCCAAAAAATAATTGTCTTTTTAGCTATGTATTATACAATTTGACAGAAATTTTAGTATTCCTTCATGCATCTAAGGTAAATTTAAATTATTAACTTTATTTGTCGATAATATGCCATAAAATTGTTCGCAAAGCTCATGAAAAATATTAAAGGCTTTATCATTCTATTCTTATTTGATTTTATTTCTGTTTCAACTAGATCACAATTTAGTCATGTGTTGGATAAATCAAACTGTCACAGTCCTCCAATTCCATCCACACCAGAAACTTCTGAAGATAGCTCAAACAGTGATAATGATGAAGATGCACAGAATCCATTATCTGATTTTTCTGCTCCCGATGTTGTGAATTCACTTTTTTCCCAACAAGAACCTGTACCTTTTTTAGATTCTAGACAGAACTGTCTAAGGAGTTCTGATCTAAAAAATTCCTCTGCCAAAGGCAAAGAATCAGCTGATGATTTTAAATCCCAGTCTCAGGTTAATGCAATGAAAATCAGCAGTTTATCCGGTGCTTCTAAATCCGTAATGAGTAACAGGGATGTTAATTTACGCATGTTTTTCAAGCAAAATCCCAATTTAAGGCAAAGTGGAGAAACATGTTCTGTTTTAGAAGTACTTGAACCTTCAAGCAGTGACAGTGAAGAATGCATTAGTCCTAATTTACCAGCAACTTATGCTTCAGATAAGGAAATAGAACAGAGTTCATCAAGCTCAGCAGTTGACACACTTAGTCCAGCAGGTCCTTCTTCCTCTGATTCAAAAGCTGGGAGTCGAAGTAGTAGTAATGGAAGTAGGAAGAATTCCTTTTTTCACCTTTCTGAAAATGTACAAAGTGATTCAAAATGTAATTCATCTGAAAAAAGTAAGCCAGATAAAGATTCTAGAAATGATTCTAATTCTGTTAATAATAAAACCTCCACACAAATGTGCAAAATCAACCTAATTTCTAATGAGCCTGATCTAATAAAAGGCACCCAAAAAAAGAAAATGCAATCACCTTTTCAAACTATGGATAGAGACAAGAAGTTTTCCAAAGATAATCCGTCAGATTTTTCTGCTGAAACTCCTAACATAAGCACAGACAGTGAAAGTCTAGAAGCTGATAGAAGCTTTTCTAGTATGGTAGAAACACCAGATTTAAATTCTTCGCCTCCCGATATATCAACCCCAAATACAGCCATTAAGAAGAAAAGTTTTCTCTTTAAATTTGCTTTGAGGGGTAAATGGCAATCAAAACCTTCTCCTCGTTCTCCAAAAAACGAAATTTCAGCAGAAGAATTTCGGGAAACTTACTCTAGATCTGTTTCTGTAGATAATATTCCTCCTACTAGTCAGGTTGTAGAAACTTCTGATTGTTCTCCCATAAAGAACTCTCCTTCAAAAAATGACTCTGATACTTTCCTCACTGATTTATTTAGTAAAGAAATACCCAGTGAGAGACCTAATGATTTTTCTATGTCACCATTATCTGATTTAACTCAAAGTAATCTAAATAGAAAGGGTTTGTTGCCACCCCGTAGAGATCCACCACCTGCTCCACCCATTGGCATTAGAGATGATGAACAATCTCAAGACCACTCTGATGATGATGTAAGCATACACATACAAAAATCGTCGGTATCTTCATGCATTGAGGGCTGCATCACACCATCTGAATCTCCACGAAATTCTTACATGGCTTCGAGAGCTTCAGATATCTGGAATTCTTCAGATTCAAAGACTCATTTCCGACCAGCTTCATCTGCATCACGTATAGACTCTCCTTCCAGAGGAGTAGAAAGCTATTCTCTTAACAAATCCTGTTCTGCATCTACTGAAATGCTCTCAGTATTAGATTCCTCAACAGCTGGTAGGCAGTCGCCAGCACCCAGTGAAGTTTCTAAGACAGAGAGTGCTTTATCACCTCCTAGTGATGTGTCTAAGACTGAAAGTGCTCGTTACCTCAGTCAACTGTGCAAAATTGAAGAGACTGGGCATTTAGCTGCAATGAAAGGGGCAAGTCTTCAGCGAAGTGATGAGCAAAATATCAAAGAAAATGCTGAAAGTGAGAGTGTTGATTTAAAGGTAATTATGACTATATTTTTAATTGTTATTAAGAGTGAAAGGTGCTTTCTTATTAATTCTTTCAAAATAATATTAATCATTTCATTATAACAGTTTTTTTAATTCCTTAAAAATTTATAGAAAATATTTAATATCAGCTAGCTCTACTGGATTAGTGCAAAAATGTAATACAAAATATTCCTTAAATTTTATTTTCTCGATATTGTCATTATTTGTTGTCAATGCTTTTGTTTTATAATATAAGTAGTCAAAATGAAAAGTGAATCAGCGTGGTAGTGTCTGAAATACAGCAGCAACACCATTTAGGGTTTGAAGCTGTATCAAGAAATTAACAATTTTCAAATAATGAATGATGTTGCGTAAAATAATCTTTGAACAAATGGTCAATCCCGCTTAATTAATTTCTCATTAAAAATGTATCTACGTTTTGTATTTGAGAAACAAAAAGATATCTTTCTTGAGACAGAATTAATCTCCTTTAGTGAAGAAAATGTTGAATTGATATATTTTATTATTACTAATTAATCTTTTCTTTCAGCCTAAAAAGAAATCTTCAAAGAGAATGAATTCCTCTAAGCCATGGTAAGTAGTTAATAATCAATAATTTCAAAAATTATTAATGAAAGATTATTAATAATAGATAATGAAATAACTGTAATTAAAAATATTTTCAAAATCTCATTTAATATTAGTGGATTTTTTGCTGAGGGAAAAATGAATAGATTTTTGTATTTAATTTACATGTTATTGCATTTGAATAGAGTCTGTAAAGTTCTGGAGTACTTTTGATGGTTGACTTGTCAAAAGTGCCCCATGACTTCCAAACACACTGTATTTTGTCTTAAATAATTATTCTAAGCTTTTAAATTACGATTACAGTGTTAAAGTTGTCTTGCTATAATTTAATTTAGTTTGCCTTTCTGTTATTTGAAATAGACTTAAACTTGTTACTTTGAAATTCTCATATGTTACAAACAGAATTTATTATTTCAAAAATAAAATAAAATAAATAAATAAATTTAAAAAAATAAATAATTAAAAAAAAAGGGAAGTGTAACTAAGTAATAAACTTTTTAATTGTCTTTACTAATCTAAAGGAAACTATTAGAATTGTGCTCAGAATTAAACTTACCATAATAACTATAATCTGTCAAGTCTATCTCTAGCCTTCTGTTAATTATATTTATATATTATTTATTTTATCTAACACCAATATTAATGTAGTTGTTGACATTTTCTGGAGTTTTCCTAAAATTTGAACACAGAATATTATGCATTACAAATGTTAATATTTTATAAAAGTATAAGATTGAGATAGTTTTCAGTTTCTAAAACTACATATTAATCAAAAATAGATAATTTTTTTACTCGTTTGTATTCAGAGGGTAATATTAGCTTCACATTAGAAGTTCTTCCTGATTAAATGTAAATTATTGTTTTTAACAAATATTCTATTTTCCTAATAACTGATAATGTTTGTATTATTAACTTTATTAAATAAAACTTTTTTAACTTATTGATCTTAATTTAATGGTAATTCAGTGAAATGAAGTAATTGCTTTCTGTTTAAGTATTAAAAGGATAGAAAAAATATTAGTCTCCATGGGTTGTTAGAAATATGAATTTTTGAAAGAATCTTATTGTTGTTCTAAGTATGTACTTTCTCTTTATTTGTTTAAAATTAAAATAATAACGAGATGCCTTTTTTGTACCAACCAGTTGATTGCTCTAAAGTATAATGTGTCAGACTTAAATATCTATCACTTACCTTATCGCCCTATCACTTACTTTATCATCTACCTTATTATTCATTACTAAACAAAATTTATTGTTTTTGTTTTGTTACCTTAAAATGGCCACATATTTTTGATGTGCTTGAAACATGTTGACTGTCCTTTCAATTTTTGAAGCGTATGAAGTTTTCTATCAGTTGATAATATCTTACCGCTTTAGTTTCTTGGGATTATTTATTTAACTATATCTATCACATAGTTATACATATTAATAGCTACGTTGCTTTTCAATACAAAAAAATTCTTTACTCTTTGTAGGTATGAATTTTCTGATGAAGAAGATGTAATTGTTCCTCAGCGTTATCAAGCAGTATCTGTTATTATGCGCAGTAGTTCTGAAGATGAAGAAGCTGTGACGGGATAATGTATGTTGAAATTGGGACAATCGATGGGAAAATTGATGAATCTTATAACTGAAAGTGAAGTAGTTGAACAAGCTTTTTCTGAAAACTACATTGTAAGCTAAATAAGTTATATTGTATTTTAATATTAATGAAACTATTATTTAGTTTTAAAAATTTTTTTCTATTAGAAATTCTTTAGATGCTTCTCCTCTAAAAATTTTTTACTCAATTTTCTTTTGGGCAGATTTATTTCATTATCAGTTTCTTCTTATAGTAATCAATAAGAAATAGAAAGTGATGAATTCTATGATTGAAAGTGATTTATAAAATTGGGAGGATTGATAAGAAAATTTGTTAGGATTAATTCAGTTATAGTGAAGAATTGTGATTCGATCCCCAAAGGTGGCTTGAAACCCACCTAGCTTCAGATTGATGGGGATCAGCTTGTTTAGGAGGTAAGGGTGGTAGCCTGTGCACAATGCTGATCACATTGCTATGATCATGACAATTGTCAAGGAATTATGGAGCCTTATCTGCCATGACCCTTAAGCAAACAGTGAGCTGTTGTGGTAATGCTTTTTTAGAGATCAACAAGTTTGTAAAATATCTCATGAGTTTGCTTTTTTTTTATTATTAAAGAAATTAATTTTAAACAGTCATTAAATTATTTGTATGAAGCATTGCAATTTAATATTGTTGAAAAACATGTTATGATTTTTTGAAAACTATATCAGAACATCAGCAAGCTGTTTCCTAAAAGTTTTCCTATGGAAAACTGCCTTTGTTTAAAGATTTGGTAGAATGAATTATTTTTTATTTTTCCATACTTACAGCTGGCCAAAACTGTGGTATGTTCTTTTAAAGTACAATTTCAAATGATATGTTTTATATAAACCTAAAAATTTAAGTTTTTAAAAATGATTCATGACTAAAAGAAAAAAACAGGTTCGTAGTTAGTTATTTTTTAGAAAAATGAGAATGAGGTTTATGATTTTTGTTCAGTTGAGTGCTTGTCAACTATTTTACTTAAGTTACTCAGGGAATATTCAATTGCTGTTGAATTTACTGCATTATTGTTATCCAGCAAATTTTTTCTACAGTTTGATGAAAAAAAAAGTTGCATTTAAGGTTTTAAATATTGTTGTAAAAGTACTTTATTTATCCCACCTAATCTGAAGACGGGTATTTTTTTACTGATCAATAACCTTTTGTAAATTATTTTATGTACAACATTTGTGTTTCTGTATAAATAAGTCATTTATGTATTTGATTTTATTGAAAAACAATGTTTTTCTTCAGTGCTTGAAACAAGAAATTTTATGTGTTTAATTTTTTTCCTCTTAAATATCGCAGAATTTCTTCACGATAGTTATTTCTTTAAAAAAAAATCATGAAAAACTTTCTTTATCAATAATTACCTATAACATGTATTAATTTAGCTTAGGTTCTATTTAAAACTTAATCTAAAAAGTTTACATTGTTATGTTAAAGTTTACATTACATATGGACATGCATATTTATAAATATCTGCACTTGGCATTCTTTTTTATAGTTACTTTTGCATTAGAATCCTGAAAAATTAATTACTTATGACTTGTTACCTTTTATTTAAAATAAGGATTTTTGTACAATTAAAAATTTTTATTTTTGAGATACATTAAATTAAAGATTCTTTTAACAGTGATTTTGCTGGATTTAGGAAAGTACAGGAAAATGTGACATGCTTTAGTGTGATCACTGTTTTAACTTCGTCAATAAATAAATGCTGTTTTAAATTTTTTCACATAAAGCTTTGCAGTAAATATCTAAAATATTTTGCTGCAAAATTTTTTTCTTCAAAGAAAGAGCATTTCATGTAATTGTAACATTTATTTATTATGAAGTTCACTATTTATAAATTTTGTTGATAAAATATTTAAACCAAATTTCATATATTTGTCATATACATCTTAATTTTTTGGAATTGATTCTACATTTACTTATATTGCTATATAAGTAAACTTTTACATGTGCATGAATGTCGTCAAAGTTCACATTATTTTTTGAAAAAGTTCTTACTTCCAAATGATTAAATAATTTCTTAAGTTTTTCTGAAGCTAAAAGATAGAATAAAATCAGTGCCAAAAATGAACATTTATATAGTTTTAGCTTGTTATAGAAATCCTAACTTATTCTCTGTTCACCAAAATTTGAGAGCAAAGCAACCTAACATTTGGCTGCTTTATACCAAGGTACAAACAGTACTAATTTGACTTGTGGTCAAAAAAAGAAAAAAAGGCTGAATTTGTAAGGAACCAGAAAAAATAGAAATAAGTAATGTTGTTGTTAAACCTCATACCTTTAAAGCATTTATGTGTACTTTTGCTCTGCTACAAGCTTAGTGTTGACATAGCTTAGTGTTTTGTTTATTTTCATACCCCTATTCATTTTTGATTTACACATATATCAGATGTTGAAATTATTATGTATGGGAAAAAAAGGTAACCAAATCAATAATATTGGAAAAAATCCATACACTGCAAAATCACAACTGTGTGAACAGCAGTTACATAATTTTTTTTATAATACATTTCTATTTAATAAAAAAAAACTCTAAAAATTATAATGGTTTGTCAGAAGTGCCTTTTATAAAATAACAATAACAAATAGAAATATTATATAAAACATTTTGGATTATTCATCTAACAAATGTACTTTGTTTTAACAACTTTCTCTGTTTTGAATACTGTTACAATATGTATTTATAATGTAAAATATTTTCTTATACTTCAAAAATTTATTTTTTAAAACATGTAAGCCTGTTTATTAAAAATTGGTATTATGTGTTGTAAGAAATGGGGTTTGTGCATTTATATATTGGTATGCAATTTTATATATATGGCAAAATTGTATTTTTTTTAAAAAGAGTAAGCTACGGAAAAAAATGCAATGATACAATCAAAAATTTGTTTCTGTGAATAAAAAATATTTTTTAACATTGACAATGAGCAGAATATTTTCTTATTTATATTGTATATATTTGCGTTAATATTATTATACATCGCTTATATTTCTTTTAATGTTTTACTATTACATCTTTGTGAAATGTATAGCTTGACAATCTATGTAATTCTGAAAAAAAAACATGACATTAAATTATTAATTTCTTCGTTATTATCTTCAATTATTTTCGCAGTCTGTTCTACCTGTAAATCATTTATATTTCTTATATCATTTTAATCACTTTGCAATATTTATGTGTCTTTCAAAATTTTTTCCCTCGCGAAACAATTATGCAGGGTATCCGCACATCTAGAAAGTCATGGATTTAGGTTGCTGAAAAATCAAATTTTTAAAATGGAATTTAAAAATACCTCCATCCCATTTCATGGTGTTCTGAATATCTGAATTTGTAACAAAACCCCCACTCACAGTTATATTTTATTAAAATATAAAATGTTTTTTAAAAGTTATGGTGTTCTTTCAAAAAATGAAAGAAAAAACATCATTTCTAGAGCAAATTATCTTTTAAACTTCTGTGATTTCAGAATTTTTGTTATTTATTATCAATTTAAAATTCTAGCTGAAGCAAGCCAGTCTAGTTTTTTTAAATTCCGAAATGAGAACAGAAAAATCGGGAGTATTTCTTTTCTTTTGGATGAACAAGAAAAGTATCTTTAGAATATAATTCTGCAGAAAAAATTATTTGCTTTTGTATTTTTTCAGCTTTTCTATTGTTTAACTCTTTTTTTATTAAATTAAAAATCTTTAAATATGACGATGCAGAGTATAACAGTTTTGGTTATACCTATCATTTCAATTTATGTTATTATAATGCTTTTTTAAATTTCTTGTTGTGTTTTTGTCGGAGAAAATAGTAACTTCAATAAGTCATGAAAAATTCTTGGAATTAGTCATGAAATTGAAAATCTAAAATGTAGGAGATACCCTGGTTATATTTTTTCCCAATCTGGTATAGTGGTATACCATTATTTTAGAGCAGTGCGAATACAGACCTATTCATTTTCTATTATTTTCTTCATAAATTAAAAAGAAATCTATAATTAGACTGAGAGGCTTAATTTTTCTTTATGATAAAGGAGCAATAATCACATTCACAATAATATTTTGATGTGATTGTCAAGTGAAGTTATAATTGAAAAAATTTTAGTGAAATCTTTTCTTTGTTAAAAGCAAGCTTTATTTAACAGGAGTACACAGAAAAATTAATATACAATGGAGAAGAGTTTCTGTTATCTATTGAAATAAGTAATTTGAGGTACTTACAATATGAATCTAATCCCCCAAGTCTAAGAAAATTAAAAAGAAAAGAATTATTTCAAAAAACACTTTATTGCATAATATTTACAACTAATAATCTTACCATGTACATATTACAACAATCTCTAGAAGAAATGCATATCTATTAACAATAAATCTCCTAAAGAAATCAAATATAATGCTGATCAATGTTATGGACAAAACCTTTTAATTTAACAATTATTTCAAAACTGAGAATCACAGCGAAAACGCATAATAAATATAATTTAATTTCACTCTTTACTTGTCTTGGTAACGCTTAGTTTTGTATCATCTTTGGTTGGGACTATTATTCGCCAGCCGAAAACAAGTCTGTCGAATCCACAAGTAAATAAGTTACGACCATCATCAGACCAGGCAACAGAACATACCATACGACGATGGCCCTAAAATATAAAATTATTTTGAAGCAATAATAAGAAAAATGTCTGAGAAAGAGCAATTGCGGGTAAGAAAATGAGTGTTTTGATTTTGTAAATTCTGCCAGCATTGATTTTTGAATTGTTTTTTTAAACAGACCTTTTAAATTGCTCAAAGAGCTAAAAAACATGCAATATTTCTAGATGGTGGATTTTGAGAGACATGGTAAAAAACTGAGTACTTTTGGAGATCATCTCAAAATATAATGTACAAGACTAGCTAGCTCTATTTATGAATCAAGTTTAATTTATAAATAAAAATAAGTCTCAATAATTCTTTTGTAAGAAATGGAAAAATAATGCATTTATATTGCAGATTGATAGCACTAGGTTACAATGAAATAGCTCAATATGGATAGCATGCTGAGAAAAATTGCGTTGCCTCGTTGCCGAGGTAATGTTTTATGAATTATTAACATGCTCTAATATAATGTTAATATAGTATATATATAGTAAAAGAGTGAAAGTCTGATTGGAGGCTCACTAATAACTCAAAAACGGGAGCACCAATTTGGAATTTTTTTTATTACAGTTAGTATATTTTAAGGGGTGATTTCTAAATAATCACCACTTTCCGACCGTGTATTTCAGGGGCAATACCCTAAACATGAAATTCCATTGTTGAAAACCATTGTAATAGATTAATCTTTTTTTAATATCTTTTTAATGGCTTCACCACGGCATAGTGTTTTTTTGTTAAAGGTTGCTAATAATTTCTTATATTATTTTGCGTATTTCCCTCTATAGTGAATATGCAAAATAATCTATTTTATTGAATGCGAAGTGCATTTGCCTCTTAGAAAAATCTGTTAAGAATAATTATAACATGGATGAATAAATAAAAACCCAAAAGTACTGATCAATTAGATTGATTAAAACATAGAGCACTTAATTTAAAATAATTACCTGTCTATTACTTCTGGGTAATCTTGCAAGACGCACTCCATTCAGATCAAAGAAACGAACATGTCTGTTATCATGTGGAATAGCAATTATGTGCTGATTAGACACATCTAATCTGTGAAAATAAATAATATTTAAAATGGTGGCCAAGAGAAATAAGTAATTATGAATGAAATACTAAAACCATGCTATCAAACAGTTTAAATTTAAAGCTTTAAATATTTTATAAAAAATTTCATTAAATCTTATTTTGATCACAGGCTTAACAACCATACGAAGATATTAACCTTCATCCAGTCAGATGGCTTGATGACTCAGAAAAGATTTAAATTGAACTATTTGGAAAAACCAAGCATATGACAGACTGTTGGAAGAAACTAGTTGGGACAACCCAGGCCTGCTGTGGGTTGTGGTGCCAAGAAGAAGGATTCATTGCATCATCAAATAGGATTTATGAGTATTTAACATTAGTCAGTGAAGAAGAAAAAAAAAATAGAAAGAAAACGTATGTTTAGTTAAGTTTTTTTTTAAAAATTCTTTAAGCATTGAACCTTTGGAGAAAATTGCTCTGTTACACACTACTTTCTCATTATGGTCAAAGGTCTAACAAGTCAACTAAAACCTTAAATATTACTTAACTAAATCTACTTAAAATGTATAAAATTACCTGTTAACCGGCGAGTCTAGCCTAATAGTTGTGAGAGGTGACCTCATATTTTTAAGATCCCAAACTTTAACTGTTCTGTCATCACTACCAGAAACAACCTTGTCACCACTAGCAAATGTAGCTGAAGTTACAGGGCTAAAGAATGGAATAGAAACATACATGATTTACATTGTTGGTTTGACCAATACTGTCTTTAATGAAAATTGCTTATTTAATTACAGGGATGAGAGTAGTCAGAAAGTAAAAAAGAGGAAATCCAAGAATGAATATATATATATATATAACGTCGTTGCCGAGTGGAAGGATTAAAACAGGTCATAGGTCGGGAAGGAGGGTACAAAATTTATTTATTAATTATTAGACAAGAGCAGTCATGAGAATGAGTAAAAGTGCACATGAAAAGTTGCGCTCCTTGGTTATATGTTAGGGAAAATCTTGCAAAGTAAAATCCGTAAAATGTCTTAATTTAGGGAAAGAGGGAAATCTTAGTAGTTGCTATTGGTTTATGAAATAGATCGAACGTTTCCCACACA